TGGTGAGGGCTCACACGGGCAGTGGTGAGGGCTCGCACCGGCAGTGGTGAGGGCTCGCACCGGCAGCGGCTGAGGGCTCACACCGGCACTGGTGAAGGCTCACACCGGCACTGGTGAAGGCTCACACCGGCACTGGTGAAGGCTCACACCGGCAGTGGCCGATGGCTCGCACCGGCAATGGTGAGGGCTCACACCGGCACTGGTGAGGGCTCACACCGACAATGGTGAGGGCTCACACGGGCAGTGGCTGAAGCCTCACACCGGCACTGGTGAAGCCCCGCACCGGCAGGTGGCTGCCGTGCTCTGTGACCAGGCTCTTCCCTTTGCCGTGCTCCACCAGTCCCACTGCTCCCTGTGCCTTTAGTTCTCCTCCCACCGCAGWGGAATGGCCGTGGAAGGGACCCCGGTGCAGCTCCGCCCGTGTGCCACGACCCGCGGTGCCGGTGCCCCCGCAGGAGGCTGGAGCTGGGGTCACACAMAGCCCTCACGGCCTCAGCGAGGAGCCACGCTCCGTTTGGCCCTTCCAAAACACCAGCAGGGGAACATCGTGCCCGCACCAGGGATACACATCCATTGCTGCGCCCCAGGAAAACAGGAGGGAAAAGGAAGGAAACCATGAAAGCACAGTGAWCCCTTCCCCTTGGCCATACAGCCGTAAATAGCAACTCCTGTGTGACCGCTGGCACCAGGCAAGAGTTACACYGGTTACTGGAAGAAAACATGACCACAAAACATTGTAAATTACAGTTCCCAGTCACTGTGATCTAATCTGACAAGGCCTGTTTTAGGTTACAAGGTTTTGGTGTGATGAGACATGAAAGCGTGTGCATTGACTTTTGTGACTAAAAATAACACCCATCCCAATTTTTCCACTAATGACTCTGACCGTGTCTCTTCAAGTTAAGGTACAYAGGCATCTTTTTCCTCACAAGAGAATAAGGAGTAAGTTTTGCCAAGCTCTACGACCAGACAAGGTAGGGTTATAATATTATCATAAAGTTTAAAAAAAACCCCACAGGACTGAATCAAGATGAAAAAAGTGTGGTAAGTGTGGTTTATCCACTTTGAAACTCTGCGGTTTACAGTTCACTCTCTCTCATCAGATGGCCTGGAGCAGCAAACAGGTGAGTCTATACTGCTCTGTTTCTTAAAACAGCATTATATTTCCTTTTCTTGTGCAAATTGAGAAAAGTCATATTGATTTACCCTGCACAGTATCAAGCTTTTTAAAGTTGCTGTATCCCAGCATTGGAAAGAATATATTTATTTCCTCTCAGGTGTATTTATAATTAGTAAAGATACCAGTGGAGTGCAACTTTTAACACAGCACTACCGGCTGCTGTTTAAAACACCATGAAAACAAGCCTCTRCAAACAATATAATTCTTCAAGATTGATGACTCTGTTCCAGCTGCAGAGAAGTCTCAATGCCCTCATATGGAAAATTATCCCTGCCTACAAAGCACTGAAGTGTATTTTGAAAGGAGCACACAAATCTAATGAAGGGGGAGACACAGGCAGGTTATGCTGTGCTCTGCATGGAGCCTGTGGCTCATCTCCCACCTCAGCCATGGGGTACTTGAGAGCCAGAATTTGAGGAACAATGTCCTGACACCTCAATTTGATTCTGACTCAAAAGGACAGGAAAAATTAGAGACAATGGGAAGCCAGGGGGTCCAGGGTAGTGAAGGGAAGGAGGAACTTCTTAAACTGAAGCAGTGTTTGAATTCTCTAAAAGGAGAAATTCTGACGTGCCATCAACTGGGGAGCAATATTGCGTACAAAAGGGTTGGTAAATCAGCTGGAGGGAAGCTAAGCCTTTAACYACTTGAAATGTCTTCCCTTCCTCCCATCTTTCCCTATTTTTCCCTAACAGGTGTTTAAGTCATTTGCAATAATTGCTATGGAGAACACCAAAAGACATGGAATGCGCTCCACCTCTCCCAAGCCAAATTAGCCAGGCAGTGCTGGAACATGGGAATAAGAGTCCTGGCAATGCCTTTAAGCCCCCACTAATGCCTGGAGTTGCACCATCCTGCTACCCTGGCTGCCTGGAGGGTCTTGAACTCCACCACTGATAAGAGGTGCAGAAGAGTGGACATACTGGAGCTGGAGAGAAGGTAACTCAAGGCTTTGGGAAAAAATAACTGTATCATGGTATTAATGAGGTATGCTCCCAAAAGGACTCTTGTGGTTCTGTCATTATGAAGAACAGCTTGTACAGAAATAAAGCATAGGAGAAAAATCTTAAGGGTAACAGAGATGTCTGTTCTGCAAGTCATACAACTTTCTCATGACATAGAACAYGTAGATAGGAATTTCAGGGATGCACTGGATGCAAAACAGTAGGGATTTTTTCCACATCCTGATGCAGCTGACAACCACAGGGATGAACCATCCATGAAAACAACCTGCCTTGCTTAAAGAATTTAAAATTGATGACAGAGTCAACAGATTTTCAACTTGTCTGCCTCCATGAAATAAATGAAATGACCGATCCAAGCACCAGGAGCCTAAATGCCAGGCAGCCCACATTATGCTTCCTGGGCAGTGAACTCGGAGAGTGCCTTTAAGCAGGATGCCTTGAAGATAATGTGGTGGGATTCACTACAATTAGTATGCGTGGCCCTGTTTGTTGTTTAGCAACACTTATTGCTATGAAATTACTGTCAAACCATCAAAGAAAAAATAATTTGTTTTTGTTTTGGCTAATAATTATGTTGAAAAGTTATTTTTCACCAGGTACAAAATGGGTGACCTTGCAGTATGGGGAATAAAAGTACAAACAGATTGARCCAGACCCTCTGTTTGGGATGAGGCAGACCCTCTGCTTAGGATGAAGCACATAGAAGCATTTGCACCTACAGCATGTATCTGGCAATGAAGGCATGTGCAGGAGGAAACAAACCAAAACCCACTGTTGAAACACACTAAATGAAGTAACCCAGACTGCAGAAATGCAAGTGACTCTCTTGTGACTCTAAAGTCCCCTTCTTGCTTTGATATAGAAGTTACCCTCACAAAATCACTCTTCCTTTCTTAGGGAATCTAGGATACTAGGCTAGGCTAGGGGGAAAAAAAGAAAAGCAACTGTTACTTGAAAACTCAATTTTTACATTTCCTGGAATTGTTTGGTATTGGTTGCAAAGATACTGCTAAACTGTCATTATCTAAAATTTGTGCCAACATTTTTTCACTGAATAGCCCAGCCTTGAGAGATTTGGAGCATTTTCTGAGCTTGATGAAAATGGGGATAGTGCAGGCACTAAGAACCGCTACAAGCGTAGCCTTTGAGGACTTGATGCTAGCATACACTGAACCACCCCTATTATGTGTGGAAAAAACTAACCTTAACATTTAATAGGAATTGTTCAGGACCTCCCTCTAGGCACAAAATGCTGCCTCCCTACAGGTTAGCTAGTGTTAGTAGTGTTTTTTAGGAAGTCATGAAGGTCACTGCCAGGAAAGCCCTGAGCCATTCACTGCAGGGCTATCTGGGGGCTCAGAATGTGGGTTTAACCCTGCACCCCATGTCTGCACTGGGCCACCATGCCCTACCCCAGCTATCCCTCGGGGCTCTCTGCACACTCTCCATCTCCTGCCTCTGGGCCAGGCTTTTCAACAGCACCAGGGAGATCACAAGCAGTTTTCCACAAGCAAAAATCCACAAATGACTGCTAGAGCTGGGATCATAGAAACAAGACTGTGATTCCATAGTGGGTTCTCTTAATAGGTGGCAGTAGACATGGGCTCCCACTGATGGACAACCTTCAAAAACTTACCACAATGAGTGCAACAACAGACAGTGTGTAGTAGATTGAATCTCTAAGGAGACTCCACGACGACAGTGCAACCACCTGGGGAAACAGGCAAAGAGAGGATGTCAGCCAGGCTCACACCAGCACGACTGCCACAACAGCACTGTGTGCCCAAGTTCAGCCTGTCACCSTGGGAGCTGTGCAGGGACTCAAGGAGGAGAACCAAGACAGGAAACACTTTCTGCAGCTGCTGGGGAACAGCTGGAACAGAGACTGGCATGGCCACATATGAAGTACCTGCGGACTCAGCTGTCCCCCACACTGGGCTGTGTGTCCCCAAAGAGTCTGTGAGGGCTGCTGCATTACAGGAAGGAGCTCAGCTTTACCAGCACRACCACACTGATGGGTATTACTACAGCTCTGCATGCATCTACACAGGTTTTGGGACAAACACTCAAAGAAACACCCCAGCAAAGGGTTACAAACAAAAACCAGGAATTCATATGCGATGGAGAAAAAAAAGGGATTACTGTGCAGTTCATGTCACTTGACACCTTCCAAAGCCACCAAAATGAGGAAGAATTCTCACTGCAGGCTGCATGAGCCTGCAGTTTAGATCTTAGAAGAAAAAATACTAAYTAATGAGTTAGTCTTTAAATTCATTAATAGTATTCAAAAGGGGTGGGTTAAAAGCAGTCATATGGTGGTAACATCTTCAGCATGATTTTATTTTTTGCAGCTCTAGGAAGAATCCTCTCAGTAGAAGCTTCTACTCAAATCTCTATTTCCYATTTCTGGAGCACATTTCAAACACTGTGGGTCACATCCTTCACAGGGGTAAAGCAGAAGGGGGCAAAAAGGGAGATGGTTCATTTACACTGATTTGGACATGAACATACACACAAATTTTCTGGCCATACCCTCTAGTTATGCTTGTGCATGAATTCAGTCACATGAACAGAAACTTCATTTTCAGTACTATTTCAGAATGTTAGCAAAAACAGTTTCCCACTTTTTTTTGTTAACTCCTATAATATCGGAATTTTTGCTAGCAAAACAAATGCTGTAAAAAGATATTGACCATTTTATTTAAACAATCTCTACAGTCTCTTAATAGTTGGCTTTTTTAAATGGATGTAATTTATGCCCAGTGTAAAGTCTCTCTATGCAACCTTGACATATCAGAAACTCCTACCTGAAATAAAAAAGCAGGCCTTTAAAGCCCTTGAGTCAAACCAGATTTATACCAATTGACAATACATTTCAAAGTGCATGGCAATAGATGAATGGAGACACTTTCTGATGGAAATTTCCATATGCAGAAACATGGAGCTGGGGTCATAATTCTATTCAGAGATCCTCAATTAAATCTCACATCCTACAGTCAGTGTGCCCCTTTATTCTGGGCAGTTCTTGCAGGAGAGTTTAGAGAACAATTTGACATTATTCCACTCAGCTGCTTAGAGTCCTCTGCACTTCCCTCAGCATGGGTGCTGGTAAGGATTTTATAGCTGTAAACTTCAGCTCTGCACACAGAAGTCACATTTCCAAAACAAATGACAATCCTTACAGGAACTGGCTCTGTCTTAAAAACTCTGTCCCTGGTCTAAGGGGTGTCACCATGCAGCACAGCACACCTGTGAAAGCAAGATGTCCTGGTTACAAGGTAGTCTTTCTCTTGTTCTTTGAAGTAATCTTTCTCTTGTTCTTTGAGGTAATCTTTCTCTTGTTCTTTGATATTCTACAATAACCTTGAGGGTACAGGATAATACTTTTCCAAGGAATTTTCCTCAGATACCTGAAGCACATTAAGATCCAGATGCTTAAATTCAGCTCTCTAGCAGGGACTTAGTGCACAGAATTGATAGACCAAGATCCTGTGGCAATCACAAGGACTCTTGTGCTGATTCCAGATTGGATTGAAGAGAACATGCTCATGCCTGACACCTGTACAGACTGCTCACATTTCACAGACATCCAAGTGGGTCTCCCTGATGCAGTAGCTGTGGGGCAATTAAATCTCTGACACCTTTTGGGTCCAAGTCATCTAGCTGAAGTTTTTGAACCATTTGATCCATGTGATACAGGGAAGCCATACACACWAGGCAACCAGGCACCGAGGATGAAAGGAGCTCATGAGCACTGAGGGCAATGGCAGCTCTCATTCTGCTGGTCAGAACCATCTCCTGGGATAGAACTACTGAGGTTCTGAAGGCCTAAGTTGGGCCTTGCAGCCACCAAGAACTCTAAATAAATCCCAACACAGTGGAAACCACTTAAGCTACAGATTAGCAAAGCAGAAAAGAAATCAGGGAAGCAATCAATTTGGGTAAAAACATGATCAAATTTGAGTTTTAAATCAGCAATACTGCCATACTGTTACTCAGCAGTGAGTTAGTCCTGTAGGAGCTGAGCATRAAGAGGCAGCTGTAGAACCACTGACTATGTCAGGTGACATTTCCCCTGTTCAAAGTGAGTGCCTGAAATTCAAACCTCAGACAAGTGCCTTGACCACTTAGCGGGGACTGAACTACTTCCCTTGAGCTGAACGGAAGAGCTCTGAAATCAAGGCTTGAATGAGAACATCCCTTGATGAGTCCACACAGGACCCACAGAGCCTGCTCCCCTGCATGCCGCAGCATCACTCCTAGCAGTAAAATTAACCATAATAGATACCTGTCTCCTCACTGGTAAACTTTCACCCTGCAAACCTCTATGTATAACATTTACTACTCAGAATGTTTATTTCCCTTTTTGAAGGACTGGAGAGTAGAAAAATCAGGATTTTCTGGGTTCTAGCTTGAATGCTGAGGTTTGCAACTCCTGAAGCTGTGGTCCCATGCAGCACACACAATCTCTTCCATCTAGGACACATGTGGAGATCAGCCACCAGAGTGAAAGTCCCTTAATGTCAGACACTGCCATCTGCTGCCTGTAGTACTGAAGTCGACTCAGGGAACCCCAGACATCAGTGGCAATATGCCCCATGCCTCATCCAAGAACTTCACCATTTATCCTCTGTAAAACTGACTCATGTCTCTTCGGCTCTTCCAAACTATTTCTCCTCTGAGCAGCATGGGAGCTCTTTTCCCATCCAGGAGACACCCATCACCAGAGGCCATCCAGCTGGCTGTTTTCCAGCTGGCTCTGCCCGCAGCKACAATGGGTCCGACACAAAGCATGTGTGGCAGAGCAGGGCTGCTGCTCCCTTGGCAAGGATGCAGGAGTCCAGAGGTGTGTGCACTCCTGGGTATTCTGGCTGCTCAACTTCCCAGGAAAGCACGCAACCACATCCATGCACTTCAGGGGTCTTCTTCACTCGGAATTGTCTCAGGGGTTTTCCTCATCTCATGGCCTGTTCTTTGCTTGACACCCTTGGGCTGTGATCAACTACAGACACTGCTGGGAAATGCTAGGCTTTGGAAGCAATCTCYCTAATCTTGTTTCTCTGTTACCCTCTGGCACAGAAGGTTTAGATTTTTAGGTATTAAGAGCTAATAACTTAATTTGCTAATGTAGAGAGGCAGGAATGCTTGGACAAGGGTGTCAAAAGATTAACGACAATCCCTGGAGCGATTAGCCTTAAGAGTCTATGGAGGTCAACAGAGATGTGCCAGCAGTGAATCCACYGCTGTCAAAAGGCATCCAGAAGCAGAGAATCTGGGTCAGACCTCATGCTGCCCCTCTTTGATGTGGACAGCAGCGATTAGGGAAGCTCTTACACCACCCTAGCAGATGCTGTGACCTGGCTTTGGAGCGCTCATTTGTGCTGCCTGACAAAGGTGCTGCTCRCTGTGATCCCTTGCAAACCCCTGCCRGCTGGCAGCGCGCTGTGTCAGCCCYTGGGATCAGCTGCAGCCAGACGTGCAGTGGAGCCTCCTTGCACACTGCTCCTGGTTTGCAGRAGCTGCCCTCAGAGCTGAGGAGGGGCTTTCTAAAGCCTGCTGGGGTCTCTTCAGGAGGGGCTCTGCTCCTGACATTACTGCTCAGCAAACCCTCAGCGCAATTTCAAATCAGCCCCATGATAACATAGCAGGATCTCATGCCAAAGCAGGAGAAATGACCAACTGTTGGCCACTGTTACAAGAAGCAGTGAACTCAGGTGGAGGTCAGGGACACATTTTCAGGGAATTAGGCTGGCCATAGTTTGTAGTTAATCCATGTCTTATGCATTTAGAATTACACAAAAATAAAAGAGGTCTATCTCAGGTATCAGCTCTCATCCCTGAAGAGGATGGGAAGATAAAACCAGCAGTGGTTTGAAGAATCACAGAACTATTTAGGTAGGAAAAGCCCTCAAAGTTCATCAAGTCCAACTGTCCCCACAGCATCACCAAGGCAAACACTAGCCCATGTCCTCAAGTGCCACACCTACTGAAAGATGAGCCACAGCAGAGCCCACAGCTGAAGTATCTGAGCCACAGCTCAAGAGAGCAAGGAYAGGAGAAGCTCCAGGACATGCACGCGTTGTGCTGCTCCCCCACCCAGCTGCAGCATGTGCACAGCTCCTGGGTGCTGGGTACACTGCTCCGTACGTACTGTGTGGATCCTGCTCCCTCATCTCTCCAAACACAACACCAGGAGCAACACAATCAGSATTCGTTTAAAGAGAGACTGCTGGGTTCATACTGCCTACAATCCTTGAAAAGCCAAGCATCCCTGGCTACCTTTGGAGAACCTGCCAGGGCCTGATGTTCCAGGCTAGCCCTGACAGAGACCAATCTCTCAGGGCTTCCCTGTTTCCCTTGAAAGGGCACAAGCTCTRCCTTTAAACTTTGCAGCTCATTATTTTAAGAACTCCTTGCTCAGCTCAGGTGTTTCCAAAGACCTGGYCACCTGCCTGCTCATTCTCACTGGTCCTGGTATCAGTGAAGCATCACAGATTAATGTGAGAGTGCAACAGTGCCTTACTTGTATTCATCTTTACATTAAATTGGGCTGTAGATCCATATGTGGCTGTCAGCAAGAAGCCATTGCACAGCCTCTGCACCCTTTCTGGGAGACACACGGTATGGTTCAGAGAGAGGTGGGCTCCTGGTGGCACTTTGACACATCCAYAATTCAGACAGAGAATCAGCCAAGCAGGTACAACGGGATCT